GTATTAATGAAAGAGAAATGTGCGACCGACAGGGAGTGAAGTGAAATTGTAGCTTATCAAAAGTGTGTGGGTGTGTTTCAGATCCGTGTGAAAGTAGAGAAGAATCCGGAGCTGGGTTTCAGTATATCAGGCGGAGTGGGAGGCCGGGGAAACCCCTTCCGTCCCGAGGATAATGTAAGCTTTCACCTTTCTTCTTCCAGTCTTTCTTTTTGCTTTTCGGGTCATTTTGTGCTCTGGGTGCCTACAAAGTCTGGAAAAGTTTTGAATTTGATTTGAAGTTCTTTTCAAGATCTAAAGAAGCATCTGTCCATCCATTCCTGCATTAGTTGTCTGTATGTGCGTCCATTCATTCATCTATTCATTCAACCATCGATTAACCATAAAATGGCACATTCTCTATGTATCTTAGTACATAGCCTTTCATAACATAGCAGAAATGCACCAAAATACACAAATAATTTAATTCCTTGATTAATTAAGAAAATAGAAATTTTATTGCTTAAATGCTTTAGAAAATCTAAACTGGGTGAAGCTAAAACTACACCGCTGTAGGAGTCTTGGCTAAATTATATTTACCAATAATCTGGATATATTTTACATTTTTACCTTGTATACAAAATGTACATATTTTTCTTTACAGTTTTGGCTTAATCACTGCTCTGAATGTGCTGGGTCATTTTTTTTTTTTTTTTTTTTGTAAATGACCTTTTTAAATCTGAAAACTCCCAATTAATAGTTACCTGATAACCACATATGTTAACAATTATTTCATTAATCATAATTAATCGTTTCAACCTCGTTATTTTTTACCTCTATACATTAATCAGCACATTCTATCAGTCTGTGGTTTCTACAGCCTGCCATTTTTAACCTCATGCTTCACTTTTAACCAGAAATAGAGTGAGAACTCTGAAACGATGTATTCCGAAATAAAGAAAAATAAGTTGTTGTTTTTTTTTTTAGACATTATTGTTATTGTTGAAAACCACTGCATTTTATATCTTATTTATTTTTAGGGCATTTTTGTGACTCGAGTTCAACCTGAGGGGCCAGCATCCAAAATCCTTCAACCTGGAGATAAAATAATTCAGGTATTCTGTTTTAAAAAAAAAAAAAAAAGTAATTTTGAGTTGTGAAAGACATGCAATGTTGGTTCTGGTTCGAAGGGGGGGAAAAAACTTTTTGTGATCGTTTTTGTCCACAGGCAAATGGATACAGCTTTGTGAACATCGATCATGGGAATGCAGTGTCTCTGCTGAAGACGTTTCCAACCACTGTGGATTTAACGATCGTAAGAGAAGTGCAAGCGTAGACTCGACTGAATCTGTCCTCCGGCAGAGCGGCACAGCACATGAAAGGAGAGCAAAGAAATTTATGATGACTGTCATATTTTTATACACAGAGGAGAGACTGATCTGCTGACACCTATTGGGACTATTTATAGCTGAGATCCTCGGAGGTCTTCGTCGCCTCGATGCAACGGGGAAAACCACTGAATGTAGTGGATCTTAGTGCAACAGCAGCAAACACATGCAAGTACGTGTCCTCAAAAGGCCGTCACTGTGGTATACATATATATATATTTTTTATACAAAAACCTGAAGATTTGATGGGAATTCTGATCTCTGTACAGATCCGCATTTTTTGTGTTATTTTTAAGTCAACGAATTATCAACCACTTGTCAAGATTTGGGTTTTACTTCCTCAGATGGGCATGGAGGCGACCACTAGGGGGCAGGGCTCCCACTCTTCTCTTCTGTCCTTAAGTTTGCCTTTTATTGTTGAATTTTTTTTTAATGATTATTCTTTAGCTGAACCATTTCCCCGTTGCCAGGCGACATTATCAAAAGGGACTGCGTTACGTGCTTCTCGTGGGGAGACGAATGTAGATCAAGAAGGCGTTTGTTTCTGTTTTTCAATGGAAGATCAAAGAAGTAAACGAAGAGAGAGAACCATCCACGCCGACTTCCGTAAACCCGTCAAGATCCACCTCAGTCACGTTCTGGGTAACCAGACCTGTGCCGGCCGGAAACTCATCCCAACTCGTCAGACGGTTTCAGAAATGCAGGTGCTCCTACGACGAGAGAAGAAAGCAGAATGGAGTTCCTCACATCGGGAGAAAAAGCGGGTTCTTGTGTTCATGTCTCTTTAAATAGGTACAACTTTTGTTTAAACAAAAAACAAAGGACTGAAACTGGGGCGATAAGCACATCTGGTTCCGGCAGGATGACATAAAGGTGTTTAAAAGTAGACAAGCTAGCTTTCAAAGAAAACACCTTTAGGCTACTGGATTTAACCAAAGCAAGCATTAAAATGAACAGAAGGTAAAAGCAGGGACTGTTCTCAGAGAGATTTTAGGATCAATATGTTTCGTTGTGGGGATTTCATCTTTTAGGACACCATATATGCAAAAATAAAAAATAGATACAAAAAAATAGTTTGAAACATTTTTACACAGAAGAAAACCACAGGTTGCCTTTTGTGTCTGTTTTGTTCCTGTCACTCATCACCTCGAAGCAGTCTTGTTTTTGTTTTATTGTTTTTCCTTCGCTGTACAGAGAACAGAGATGGAAGACGCAAATTGTCAAGTGCCATAGACCTTGAACTGTTTGAACAAGGGGAGGATGTTCAGCTCTTCCCCCCAAGGAACCCAAGCAATACCCACATTCGCAATCCCTTCGAGTACATTTTGCAGCATAATGGCTTCAAAGCAATATTTAAAAGCCTTTATTTTCATTCACACGGCATCGTTTTTAAACCTAACCACAAGCTTTTAGTACTCCCTGATGATTTTACATGTTTTTTATATTGTGATTTTTTTTCTTCTTCTTTTTTTACAATGAAATGGCACAGAAATTATATGTGTGTGTGGCATTGCTCAAAAAAACAAAATCTCTGCATTGTGAAAGAGTTTTTGTCACTTTGGCCGAGACATTTTACTGTTTTTGTCGAGTACTGAATATCTCGCTGTTTGTGTGTTTAAAAGTTTCCACTGTGGACTGGTGACTCAGCGTTCTGAAAGCGATTCTAAAAGGACTGTGAGAAATAAGCGTGATCAAGATTTATATTATACCCACATCTGTTGAGATTCAGACACAGGTACAGCTACAGCAGCGAGACGTGTTTCCCAAACTAGTGGAAATGATAAAATACACATTGTCCAGTGAATTCCTTCACTTCTGTCACTTGTTGCCAGTAGAGTATCTTCAGTTTTTTTTTTCTTTTTTGCATTGGCAACCAAATAAAAAAAAAAAAACTTTCTCTCTCCCCCCCTCCATTTCAATTCATTTAAATTAAATAATTTTCTGTTGAAAAATATTTGTTCCAAATGAAGTTGCCCATTAGTTCTACTTGATCAGCAATTGGTCAATTTTGTATTTACAAGAAAGTGAAATTTTTCGCACATTGTGTTGTATTGTACTCTGATGAAATCCTTGATTGTATTTGTTTTAAAGTTCTTTTTTTTTTTTAACGGCAGAGATTAATTTCTTGGGTTATGGTCACTTTATAATCACTTCGAAAAAAACAAATTGTCTACTTTAGACAATCTAGGGATGAAAACGAATCTTTCCACTGTTTCTTCATCCATGTTTTGTGTTTCTCGCTCCCACTTTTGTATTTATTTAGCAGACTTACATGAAATTTTAGACCTTACTAATCAAATTGTAAATAACTGAAGAGACATTTGTGACTTGCGATTGTAAAACCAGCAATAAATTGCAATGCAGAGGCAACCATTTAAATGTATAGCTAGTATTTCTAATGTTTCTCTGGAAACAGTCACAGTGAGATGATTGATATGCATTTATCCAACATTCCAGATTTTGTACATAATTTCCTGTTTCAGACGTTACCTGTGGGACAATAAACTAATGCTGTTTAACAGTGATGCTTTTGTTTTACTGTCTCCATCGTCCGGCTTTATCCTAAGGGCTGACGGCAAAACTGGGAAGAACTCGATAAGTGCTACTTTTGGACCTGCTGAAGATAAATTGCAGCAACTGGTAGTTATTCAAAAATGACTTCAATTAAAAGCGTGTGAATATGCAAAAATGTTGCTGCTATGAAGGTAGGAAGGAAAAACAGTTTGAGTGCTGATGGATGTGCTTTTGTGACAACTACACTGGAGGAGTCTCATTTCTCAGTTTTGGATTTTCTAATACTTGTAAATATTACCATTGCATTTTTAAAGCAAAAAATCATTGTGCATTTACTATTGTAAAGTTTCATCAGATTTATGTCTGTATTTTTTTAAATGCAAAAAATGGGGCCTAAAAGTTATTTGTGGAAGAAAATTTATTTTAACAATAGGTGGGTTAAAGATTGTCCTTTTCCTAAAATGGTGCTGAGAAAATGGTGCTTCGATATACTTTTATTGTATTATTTTATATGGGTATGCATTAGGAGCCAATAACCGCGCTTATATTAATCAATGATTTGCTGAAAACATTTCTGACTTTTTTCCCCCTTTTCTTCATTTTAAATGTAGTGCATTGCTTCTTCCTGTAGGAGGGGCTGTAGTGCTCGATGTTGATTCTTAGACGATGCTGAAAAACAAGAAGAAGTCTAAAAAACCTGCTGCACCGCCACCCTCTGGAACCGACAGGGATAACTGAGAAATTATGCAGTTCTAACGCTATAGTTTAATTTCAAAACACACAGAAGAAGAAACACTTTATCACTCGCACAATGAGCGGTATACCGGGCACTGCAGTCGTCCAGGTGACCAACCTGTCGTCGGCTGTGAGCAGCGAGCAGATGCGCACTCTGTTCGGCTTCCTGGGAGACATCGAGGAGCTTCGTCTCTATCCCCCCGAGTAAGCGCTACTTTTCCGGTCTGAGCTCGCGAGGCAACGCCGCGGAGTTGCGGCCTCGTTAGGGCCCCGCGTAAGAATGTGTACGTAGCCGTCCCAAATTTTTTTCTTTTTTTAATGACTAACCGTTTTCTTGGCTCTCCTTATTTCTTCCCACAGCAACACCCCTCTGTCGTTCTCCTCCAAAGTTTGTTATATAAAGTACCGAGACCCCTCAAGTGTTGGTGTGGCGCAACATCTCACCAACACTGTGTTTATTGACAGAGCTTTGATAGTGGTTCCCTGTGCAGAAGGTGAGTGCAAGCCGCTTGGTTTAATCACATTTCAATTAAAACAAAAGACTTGATAAATAGCTGTGGACGTCCCTGGAATTCACCTTGATGTCTGTCGTGGTCGTGGGCTGGGGGGGTTATGGTGGTCTTCAGAAATGGTGTCGGATGATTTAGAGCAGCCATGGGCCGGCATGCAAATGTAGTCGATGCAAAACTTAAAACGCAAATTCCATAAATAAATTCAGACGATTTATAACAGGTATTTTTGTCATATTTAAGCAAAAATAGGGAATACAGACATACTGGCTGTAATCCCCTCCGCCCCCCTTTCTTGCACGTGAGAAACTATTGCAGGCTTCTTTCTGCCAGCTGACTGGCAGTGGGGCAGTCAACAGTCTGACACGAATTCTGGTTTTTAACATCTGTCCAATTCCATTTTCTACGTTACAAAACATAAGAGAATAATGTTCTGTCATTGTTTTGACCTGGTGATAGCAAGTGAGTAGCACATTTCTAATTAGGAGAAGTACTATACAGGCTTATAGGAGAAACCGGCCCATGCCTGGATTTAAAGCATTTTGTTGGTCCAGTACCTGACACAGGTTGTGGGTTTAGCCACAGGACCCACTCAAGTTTCTGTTTGGTGTCACATAAATTAAGGGAGATCAACGTTACCATGAATAGTGGACAGTCTGGAATTACAGCTTGTGTATCTAAAATAAATGTTATCAAATCCATTGCTAAAGAGTAAAACACTGTCTTTCTCCCCCTTTTTTTTATTTTTTTTTTTTTATTTTTTTTTTTAGTGCCCTCTTTCGGTAAACTCCCACCTTCTCTCCCCCACTCCCTTTTTTTTTTGGTACCCCTGTGTACACTCACAATGATTACACTTCTAACCTGATGCATTGTGTCCACGTGACTTGGTGCTGGATGGCTAATGAGTTTATTAATTTGGTTTTGTATGTTTTTTCTGTGTGATTATGTGTGCATATCAGATGACTAGACTGGCCCAGCTGTTACACTACACTAGCCTGAGTCAGGCATTGTTTTCCAAGCCACTATCCCCGATCGGGCCAACGCAGCCTTCAAGGGGGGGATGTGACCCGGAGAATAGCCCGCAGAACCTTCCAAGATGGACACCTTGTCTCTTTTTTTTTTTTTTTTTTTTACTTTATTTTTATTTTGTTTTCGGTTTGTTTCCTTTTCATACTATCCCATGTTGTCCACTCTCTACTGTCTCTATCTAGAAACTTGCAGGTTGTGTTTGTATTTTTTTTTTTTTTGTTTTGTTTGTTTGTTATTTTGATTATTGTCCAACCCCCCCAATTCCCTCTCTCTTTCCGCTACAGCTGGAGCTTGTGTGTGGTTGAATTCAGTCCAGGTTGCTACGGCACACCGGTGGGATGTGTGCCACACAAAAGATGCTATGAGGATCACTAACTCTTTTGTTCTCTTGTCTCCTACGTCTGTTGACGTAGTGAAGGGCTAGTCTGTGTGGAAAAAGTGAGCCTCAGTAACAAATCATATATATCTATACATATATAGCTTTCTTTTAAATTATCTATGCACTTATTCATCTACTTGACACTGATCTAAGAAGGCAACATTTAGTACTTTTTCCTCACATTATTTTGGCTTTGATGTGAATGTTTAGTAATGACACAGAACTGATCAGAACTGTAGCATCATTCTCTCTTTGTAATGCATTAATACATTGCTCTGTTCATGTTTTGCTTAACAAAGATGGTTGCTTGCCCCTTTAATGCTGAATTCCCTCTAGCTCTAGGTCAAAATTGCAAGGTGCCTTGCGATATTATTCACAAACTTTGATGTGTTGGGTTTTTTGGGGGGAGGGAGGGATTATATGTGCGAGACTAGGGGTCTGCAATGCGAGGATCCAGAGCCTCAAGTGACTCTTTGGATGTTCCACGTCGGCTCCTGTTACCTTCCAGTAAAAATAATTAAGAACCTAACTCATGTTTTTAAATTTTACTATATAATAAATGTTTTTTTATATATTAATTCATCTTTCAATATGTATTAATTGCACCAAATTTCAAATGCAGAAGATGACTTTTAGATTTTTATTTTTTTACTTTTGATTTAAACCTGTAGAAGTATATAAAGTAAAATTTTAGTATTATTTCCAAACCAAATAATATAAATAAAACAGTGATTCTTTAAAAATTACAAAATTCCTATAGCAGGTTTTTGACTTTTTTTTGATACATACCATTTGTGGCTCAAAACGAGTTTCATTTCAGTGGACTGAGGGCCACAAAATGGCTCTTTGGACCGTAAAGGTTGCAGGCCCTAGTAATAGACCAACACAACGCGGTCCAGCACACTTTACTCTGTGTCGGTCGGTCAAATGAAGTCCCAGTGGAACAGAGTTGAGTTTGTGGCCGTGATGTGAGGAAATGTGGGAAAGTCGAAGGTTTGTGAATCTGTTTGCAAGGCACCGTTTAAAACTTTAAAATCTTCCTCCTGAGAGACAAAGGAAGAATATTATTATCCACAGTGGAGTGAGCACAATTCCTGATTGGTTGTATTATTGACCTCTTAGCATTTCCAAAGTTCTTAAAACTGTTGTTCTTCTCTGTATCTGATGTTCTGTGTGCTATTAGTGATGCAGCCATTGGGGGTTGTCTTGTGTTGCACATCTTTCCAACACTGCGAAACGATCGCCCCCCTGTCCCCCCCGCGGAAAAGCGCCCATGCTTGATATCGTATGGTTCATGACCAATATGTTTCCAGTACAGGTGACCCATACATCAAAGTGTTGACTCATTCTCTGCATTGTTTTTTTTTTTTTCCTTTTTCTTCTCTTTTTACTTAACCTATATTTAAAAAAAAAAGAAAGAAAGCAGAAAAACAAATAATCAGCTCCCTTTTTATTTATTTATTTTTTTTTTTTTCTTTAATAAGAAGCTATTCTTTTGCACTTTATATTAATGATGCATTTTGACTGAGAAGAGTAGATTAATCAAATCCAAGTAAAGATGCTTGGTCTGAGGTAGCGGGTAGATGACTCTTTAGGCTGGATGGGGAAGTGTATGCTCTCTTTCTCTCTAGAATACAGTGGGATAAATGTGCAGAGTGAAGAGCGCCTCCCTTGCCTTCCCTAACGTCCCGCTTCGTCCTGCAGGGAAGATCCCAGAGGAGGCCAAGGCTCTGTCGCTGTTGGCGCCTGCCGCCCCGGTACCCAGTCTGATCCCAGGCGGAGGATTGCTGCCGATTCCCACGCCGGCCCCACTCCAGAACGTGAGTCGTCGTCTTTATTTTGGGTGTTTTCGTTTCTTCCCGTGCTCTGGTCGAATCTAACATCCACCCGTCCGCGCGGTTTACGCCCACAGCTGAACCTCCCTCTAGTGAGTCGGATCACAGCGGGCCTCGACGCCACAGCCTCTGCGCTCTCTCAGCCTCCCCTCATCGGCAATGTCGACCCAACGAAAATTGATGAGATCAGGAGGACGGTTTATGTTGGAAACCTAAACTCACAGGTGCGGTTAAAAAAAAAAGACTAAATAAATGAAGGTAGTTAAAGTTGTACCTATGGCTGAAACAATTAGTTGAGTATTGAAATAATCGTCAGCTAATTTAGCAATCAATTAACTGCAGCATACAGACTGAAAAGAAGCCAATTTGCTGAAAGATAAACACTAGGATTAGTAAATGAGGTAAAACTGTACAAAAAATATATACACTATGCTCTTAAGAAAATAATAAAAAATAAACCTTTGTTGTTCATTTTGTAACTTGATTAAAGGTCTAAATAATCAATTTCTAGAATAATCATTAGTTGCTGATCTTCTGCTTGTTTTCTATTTTCATTGGATCTGTCCCAGACCACCACTGCAGAGCAGCTGCTGGAGTTCTTCAAGCAGGTGGGAGACGTGAAGTTTGTCCGGATGGCCGGAGACGAGACTCAGCCGACCCGCTTCGCCTTCGTAGAGTTTGTGGAGCAGGACTCTGTGGCCAGAGCCCTCACTTTAAACGGAGTCATGTTTGGAGACAGACCCCTGAAGTGTGTTCTCACACCATTTGCTGTGAGATGTGGTTGAGAAGTGTTGAGGTTTTTTATTATTATTCTATGGTTAAATCTGTTTCAGGGTCAATCATTCCAATAATGCCATAGTGAAGCCCCCTGAGCTGACGCCACAGGCTGCTGCTAAGGAGCTGGAGAGTGTGATGAAGAGGGTGAGGGAGGCCCAGTCCACCATTGCTGCTGCCATAGAGCCAGGTAGGAAATTTGGATAGATTTCAAATACTCACAAAGTTACTCGGCTGAAGTTGTTTTTTAGATTTGTTCTCTGTGCTTTTGTAGCGACAAAGACGCGTTCCTCCAGCCGCTCCCAAAGGTCGCGGCGGTCCCGCTCCCGGACGCGCTCTCGTTCCCACTCGAGATCACGGAGGAAAAGGTCCCGCTCCAAACACGGGTGCTCAGAAAACCCCAATTTGACATGATCCCAGTACTATGGCGTCCAGTCGCTGATGTTTTCCCTTTTTGTTTTCACTCTCGTTCTTGTGGATCAGACCGACACAAAGGTCTTTTCCTGGCAGTGACGCCCACAGTTCAAGGAGCGGCCACAAGAGGCGCTCTCGTTCCAGAGACAGGAGACATGCCAGGAGTCGCTCCAGGTGCTTTGACAGCAGCTCACTTTACAAACTTTTTTTACTTTTCCAGTTTAAATTCTGTATACTTCAGAGTTGCCATGAATGATTATTCATTAATCTCTGAACTCATTTTTGAATTAGTACCTTTTAATTGTACCTTCTAATTTTACTTTAAAAAGTAGAATTTTTCTTTTTCTTTTGTCCATTTTTCACTGCAGTACTTATCGCTATAAATTTCACATTTCTACAACACTTAGTGGACAAAAGTAATTGTTATTCCCACTGTTAGCAGAAGAGGGCGCCACATTGCAAGTGATCATGACTTTGCTCTGATGGAAGATGTAATTAAATCTGAATATTCGACCATGTTTTCCAAATCAATTCAAAAATACTTTATTTTATCCAAAAGAGGAAATCAAATGATGTCTTCAGAGGATTCTGACCGAAGATTGTTACTATGTTACCGTTTTATTTCTGTTTTGAGACACTAACAGGTACTTTTTTGGGGGGGTAGCAAAGATGACATTCCACAGTAACATGTAGTAGACGATGATATCAGTTGTTCTGCTAATCCACCTCATTTGCTTTTGCTGCTTCTCTGGCTGGCGACACGATCAGAAAGCCGGGTGGAAAGATGGAGCCTACTAAATGGTTTTTATTAAATGTTTTCGTTTTTGTTAGAGGGCACAAAAGGAGAAGCAAAGATCGGTCCAGAAGCCCTCGAAGGAAAGCAAGATCACCTTCACCAAAACGGTCAGTACGTCGCCTCTCAAGACTGAGTCATTTATTGTGTTGCTTGGTTCGTTTGCCATTGTTCATTTCTTTCCGATGGCCTCTTTTAGAAGCAAACGGGAGAAGAGGAGGGAGCGCAGCAGAGACAGGAAGGAGCGCTCCACGTCCAGGAAGAGAAGCCGCAAAGACGAGGAGCGGATAAAGAGCAAATCCAAGACAACCAAGGTGAAACAGCTCTTGATTTTCTCACCATCATGTCTGTCATCGCGTTAACAGTTTAGTAGAACGTGGCTCTCCACAGTGTGGCCCTTGAAATGATTTTGTTTGGCCACAAACACAAAAACTGTTCTTGAAAAACATTCTCATTTAAAGCAGACTTCCTTAGAATGCCAGTTACTTAGAGAAAGTGTGATTTATATCACTAAATCCCAAACAGTAAACTTAATTTATTATATTATCGAATTGAATGATATTTATGAATTCTCTCCTAGAACAGTAGAGACAACAGGACTTCTGATTATTTAGTTTTTTACTTCAATAATTAGAATCAAAATAACAATAAATCAAAATATATAATAAGAGATAATTGATTAACCCCTGACCTCTACCTGATTTTTATTTATTTTTTTATTCAACTCCAATTGCATCTTGGGAGTTGATGCGTTCGCCCACAAATTGGTTCATCTAATGTCAAATTAAAATTTTTTTTTTTTTTTTTTTTTACAGTTCCTTGTTTTAGTGATGTCTTTGTTTGAATAAAGAGAAAAAGTCTCAACTGTCTCAAACGTAAACATTGGGACAGAGCAGAGTAAAAGTTCAGAGTGTGAAAACAAACCCAGTGCGCTGAGCGTGTCTGGATATATTTAGCCACTGAGAGCATTTCACAACTCTAAAACCAAAGCAAGTGACATGGTGGCAAAAAAATAAGAATAATTTCAACGTAGCAGCGTAGAGGAAGTGCTGCCATTCACGCCGTTTGCTCTGAAGTGAACCTGGGAGTAGGGGAGATAAATGAGCCGGAGCGTCGGGGGACCACAGCACATCGCTCCGTCCCCACCCCGTCCCACCGACTTCAGGTCATCTCGTTTCAGTGGTAAATGTTTCCACATCTCTTCAGGCCGTTTCAGGTGCGACCACACAACTAACCTACTTCAGCTCCAGATCAACCCAAACGATAGCTTGGATAGAAAAAAAAGTCGCATCGCGCTCCATCTGATCTGATAACAATCTGAACATCTAACACGGCTGAAAACATGCCCTCAAAAAAAAAAAAAGCCTTCATCTCACAGAGTTCTGTTCGTCACATCTGCACAGACGGCTTTGTCACGTACAACAGTTAACAGCTTTTTTTATTTTTATTTTGGTGAGTGATGCAGCTTATTGTTTGTTCTGTTTTTGAGGTAAATATGAATCTGTTGTCAAGTTTCATTGAGTGAAATCCAATCAAGTGAACTCTGAGAATTTCTAGTTCCACTCGTGTAGCTTTTTGACCTTTAAAAAGACATTTTCCCATCCTATAAGCAACGAAATCTACCAACGCTTTTGGATTTTTATGTAATTATAATAACAGGGCTGTAAAACATATATGGTTCATTTTGAGATCACCACAAACCGCTATTTATAAATGGCGGGTCGGATTATTGAGGCTCAGCCAGTGGCTCTCCCCTGCAGCTCAGGGCGTCCAAACGTTTTGTCTCAGGAGCCAAAACTGTCAGGTCAATTTGGGACTTGAGGGACAAAAAGGTGATATTTTTAATTAAAACTTAAACTGTTTAGGGATGAAACAATCACCTGTTTCAGATTCAGTAAAGGGATGCAATGCGTTTGCCTTCCAGGCAATACAATGTTTATTTTTCTTATTATGATACAAGTTATTTGTTTATTATCATTATATAAATGTGTTTTATCATTTTATTATTTTTGTATAACAGAAGCTTATGTGGGTAAATTAAAAATCATATTTTCAATTTAGATTAAAAATTCCAACCAAAAACAGATTTCTTCTGTTTTTGGTTGGAAAGTGATTTCTGAATTATTTTAGTCTGTTAAAAGAAACATTTATCAGGTGCTTATTTTTTTTAAAAATAGCCAAAATGTGGTCAGTTCAGAGCAATAAGAGCAGGATTCAGTCATCTTTCCGTCCTGTTTTAAGCGTTGACTTTCTTTAATTTTGCAGGACTACAAAAGGGAAGAAAAGGCGGCGTACGGGAGCGACAGAGAAGACTCGGCCACTCCGTGTGACAACATGACATCATCGCCGCGCGCCCAGCACAACGGGAGCTACAAAACTCACAGAGAGGAGGCCGCGTTCCTGGGACGCAACGCCACCAAGTGAGCGGCCGGCGCGCCCGCCTCCCTCGCCGCCTCCCTCGCCGCCTCCCACCACCTGTCGCCTCATCACGAGTCTCTTCCGTTTCGCGTTACGAACTCCCGCTGCAAACCCGAGGATTCTGACGTCGAGCTCATTTTCCTGCCTGGAGGACAGGAGAGACGGTGCTTCAACACAACCTTCCAGGACAAAAGCACGCCGGCGTCATCCCGACGGCGGCGCTCGCTTCAAAGCGGTCCCGGCAGACGACGCGGCGTCGCCGGGAGAAAAAAACGAAACCCTCGTCAAAGCTGCTGAGACCGACCGACGCGTCTGGAAACCCGGAGCCAACCGGAGAGGGGATCGGGCCGCGGTCAAGATTGTTCGGTAAAACTCCATTCTCAGTACATCAACCCTTTCCTCAAAATAAATTCCTCCTCAGTAACAGTGAAAATACTAATTATGAAAATAGGAAACGTGATCTAATTGTTTTTATATGAGCCAACATTTGGTTAGAAACAGTGTTACCCTGGCAACAGCGATGGCTGGAACTCATCTATAGTTTCCGAATCGTTTTTCTTTCCATGTTTACAAAAATCCAAACTGCTATTTTTTTCAAAGTATTAAAAAACACAAACAAACCCAAAAAAAATAAAAAAATTAAAAAATTTAAAAAAAAAAGTATTTGAGCCAGCTGACTGGCAGTGTGCAGGACTTTCACTGTAAGCTCCAAACACTGTCAGGAAACTTTGAGCGGTGATATTTAAAATCCATTTTTGGACCCTGATGGCAGTAACTCCTCAAAACCACATGTGCAGCAGGAATCTGCTTAAGTCATAAAAACTGTATATCGACTATTGTCTTAATTATTTATTTAGTCAATAAATGTGAGTGGGATCATAAAGGGGCAAGAGGTATTTTGATATAAAAACAAAACTAAAAAAAAAAACTAAAAACTTTTATATCTGCAAGTACAAAAACTGGATCAATTTGGTGAATCAAAACAATAAAAATATGTAGGTTTTTTTTTGTGTGTGTTTGGCCTTTTTTAATATATAGTTTTAATTAGAATCAATAGCGAGTAGTTTCTCCAGAACTTTTGCTATATATTGTGTGTTGTGTCAAATATTTGTCAGGAATCCACACTTAAATTTTAAAGCTACTAAATCTAAAAACAAATCCATTGACATTAACAACTTTAATCTCATTTCAGCTGATATTTCTTTTTTAAGTGATTATTTAAAGGTGAGAAGTGAAAGAATGGTTTGATCCAGAACTTTTCTGAGCACAACAAAAGAAGACGTGCAAAATTGTGAAATAAATCCCCCCCAAAAAAACTTAATTTCACTAAAAACGACCCACTTTTACCATAAATGTTAAATATTAAATAAATAAGCAGCAGAAATTGGTGCAGCTGCTGTTTCAGAGAAGCAGCTAAATGCTTCTCTAGCGAGTGTTGAGGATCTTCCTGTTCCTGTAAGGACATAGAAATGGACTGAAGACGTTTTCTACAAGGTTGAAGGAAACGGGTTTCTACACATTCTCAAGTGCTTCTTTAACTTTTTTCTTGTTTGTGGACAGTTGAGAGAATTTCTGTCTTGAGGTTTGTGAAGTGTCCTTTTGTCCATCCAGGATTCCTGTTGTCCTTCATTATTACTGAATAAAAACTCAGAGAGCCATAATTATGAGACGGTGAGTTGTTGCAGATGTTTGTCCCAACCTTTGTCTGGACGTCGGCCTCATTCGCATAGGCGTCATTACATCAATTTCTGTTGCCACAGCAACATTTCGGTGTACCACGTTTTATTTTTCTTCCATCGTAATGCTGCGGGATGAAATATTCTCAGTACACATGATGACTGTGTGAAGAAAGTTTACGGGCCGATTTATTTTTTGGGCAAATGGGGAAAATAAGCTGAAATCTTGTAGGTCAACCAACCGTACGGAAGCACAGAAGGGTCAAAAAGTGCCTAGACCACGATTGTACAGTAAACAAAATATGGAGACTCATTTGGATGTTTTACGAATAAAACTAATAAGATCTTATATTAAAATATTGTGGGCTGTCGGAATAGACTAAATGTTCATGGGATGTTTTATCCTTTTATTCTGTGACTTAATGTGCTGCAGTAGTTATGAGTATGCTCTTTGAAAAATGGTGGCAAAACAGCAACAGATCCAGTTCCTAATTTGAAAAAGTTTACGTCTTTCTTTTTTTTCTCAACACATCTGTCAGAAGTAATGAGCTTCAGATGTCAGAATTAAATCGTTTCAAGCTCATCTGCCAATATGTGAACGTGGACTTTATTACTTTTTTTATGTGCTCATCTTAGCCACAGTCGAGAGGATGGGACATAACGGTTCAGCAAAGTAGTTTATGAAATATTGGGATGTATGTACATATTACTCTTTGGTTTGAACCTGAGATATGTTTTATTTGATTGCAAAAGCTCTCAATAAAGAGACTTTCCACTCGGCTATTTGTTTTGCTTGGTTGTTTCTGTTCTACGTGTAACTAATTGTAAACTAGCATTTACTGTACCTCTTAAATCTTGTTGAAGTTTACAGTATTTGGACCTACTATACAACATTTTTTATACATATAAAGTGAATGGAAGTCCTCAGATCAATGAAGTGCAAAAATTGTGTGTGTGTGTGTGTGTGTGTGTGTGTGTGTGTGCTAGTCACACAAAACATTTTAATAAATGTTGACGATAACCAGAAATCCCTGTACAGTTACTGACTCAGTGTCGTACAGAAAACTATTTTTAATAATAGATATGCTCGCACTCAAATATAAAGCATAAAATGTCCTTTGCAATCAACTTTGGCAGTTAATGTCATTCACTTCATGGTTGAGTTGTACACATAAATACAAGCTTGACATGCCATTTCTACTAAATAAGGCTTTAAAAAAACTTGTCCTGCAACAGGTGAAAACTACAACAGGTAGACCGTTGGACCGAAATTGCAGCGTTCATTTTTTGGCTCAAACGAACCAAACCCTTTGAAAAACCTGTTCCCCTCCTCGCCTGTGGTGGCGCTACGACAGGAAAGTCTCCACAGAAGACATGAGCGCAACGTTCTTCTTTTTCTTCTGCTGTCGGATTCCTCCTCTGTCTTTGGTAAAAAGACCACAAGGTATTTCTCCCGCTAAGACTCACATTTGTGTAGGTGGTATTTACCCAGAATGCCCAGCGATATAGTTCGCTCTCGGCTTTCGGAGCGGTCTCAGGTCCACTTGGCGTTCACATATGAATTCGCCACAGTTCACTGAAACCAAACGGAGACCCAGGTTTGTAGGCAGATCAGAGACGACCTTCCCAAACGAACCAGACTTTCAAGGCAACCAAACTGGAGTTCACAGCAGGGCTGGTGTAAATTCACTGTCTGACGGTGGGCTGGTGCTAAACTGTCTCACATAGTCTAATCTTATAGACTTTAACACAGTCAAGTCCTCTGGTTCGCCTTCCATGCTCCGTGTGTGTGAGCCACCTTCCGTCGTCCACTGTGGAGTGAGCTGTTGGAACATTTCCATCGTCGTATATCCACCTGCAAGGGTAAAAGGTGCACTTTGGAAGTGTGTCCTCTGCGTGTCCGCTGCGTCGTCGTCTGTCGCGCTGTCTTCGTCCCTCTCGCTCCAGGCGTGAGCCGTTTCCAGAGTGTCGTCCTCGCAGGTCCTGACGTGCGGCAGCATCGACGACGTCTGAGGCGGGACGGCGGCTTCCCTCTCTAGGATCTGGAAACTCTTCGTGTCCCATTCCTCCACTACCTTTAGAGTCGCTAACGCCTCCAGGAGTTTCTGAGTGGAAGGCGGCACATCATCAACAATATGTTGCAATTTCTTTGAGATAGGCTCTTCACTAGTTGTGAAAGAAAAGCAGGAATGCACATTTACCAGCTGTCCGGGACTCTCTATCTTCTGCACTGCGTCGCTGTGTCCAGGGTTGGGCACCCTTGGCCACAGAACGGCTTTCGCCCTGGGCACAGTCAGTGTGTGAGTAATGTGTTTTGCTGTTCAACTTTACTTCCATCAGATGTAGGGTATAAATGTTCTACCTTTTTATCACCGGAGACCCAAACACCAGCAAACAAGCCACCACTATGAAGGCTGTTATTGCGCCCCGGATGCTGAAACTTACTGTGCAAATAAGAAAATAGAAATTCAAACTTCAGATCAAAAGAATAAACGTCTTAAAACGTACAAAATAGATGTAACCTTTCTGATCTGTTTTAAAGACGCTTGGGAGGCTTCGGATTCCTTCGCCCTTTGACGTGAAGCCGGATATCTGGACCTGATAAGCCGTTCCACTTTTGAGGGCCTTCATGTGAAAGCTAGTAGAATCCGGATCCACTGTTATGTCTGCAAAGAAATGGGACTTTGTTTGAGTTGCGTTTCCTTTGCCTGGGTATTTACCCGGGAGCCAACAGGAATCTGTCGCAGCGTTCCCGGGAACAAATCTCGACACTCGCAAATATCCTGCGGCATCTCCGGCCGTCTCCGTTCTCGCACTCAGGATATTTACCTCGACTGACGTTGATTTCACAAACGACACACCACAAATTTCCCTTTCCGCCTAGATTCCGTTCATAATTACTCACAGTTGGCTCTCGAGGCATATCGGCATGATGCACTTCGCCCTCCGCAGCTCAAAACCAGACTAGTTATGACTCATTCTTTTCATTGTGGCAGAATTAAGAGTTCAAAAGAAGGGTTTTTGTGTCAGCGTCTGTGTCAACAAATTATACGCTCGAGAAGTTATTTACCGTTCCGACTGACACCAAAGCTGCACGTATTGGTACATCTACTGTAGGTCACCGTGTTTCTGTCACTGAAATTCCTTGTAGGCGTCGTTCAGTGTGGTATGATTGGTTCTTACTGTGCACTGTGCTTGCCTCCTGGTAGTGATGCTCAGTGTAGTAGATGATGTAACCCAGCAGGAAGCCCCTCAAGTCTTCCTCTGGGATATGAGACCACTGGAGCAGCGCTGAGTTCAGCGTCACGTTGTGGAAGCTGACGTTTGCTGGGGCGCCGACAGGAGCTGTGGCCGATTCACATGACAACATGAAGTGATTTTTCTTTTTTTTATGATTGTAAGATAAAATTTTAAAAGTGCAGGCAGCAGAGGCGACCCTAGGGCTGTTTTCGGGGGGGGGGGGGCTTAAGCCTCCCTAAAATATTCCAAAGCCCCCCTGGAATAATGTTGGTTTTGGGGGTGTTGTATTTTTCTTTTGTTTCTTTTTAACAAGAAAAACTTCTAGAAAAATAACTATATAAAGTATTACTACTCAAATATCATAAATCTGTCAGTTCGGAAGATGATACAAGTGTGAAAGTTTGCACAAGAGTTCTTCAAAGGCCACAGAAAATTATAACTGCTTTAGCATCGTTTACAAGATAGCGACTCCACTCCGTTGACATTTTGCAGCAGAAGAGTTTTCCATTACGCTGAACACCATTTTAAAAGCTGAAAAGCAACTTCTCCGCTTCTGTTGCCGTTTGACAGGTTTTGTTTCCGCCTGCTACAAAATGTCAATGTCGAATTTTATTTGTAAAGCACTTTGAAAACAGATATTAACTGCACTAAAGTGCTATTCAGTATTCGTGAAACACAGATCAAAACATCAGAATAAAACACAAATTAAAACGCATCCTGTGCATTGCCTTGGGGCTAAGCACCTGCCCCCCCTGTGCCCCCCACCTGAAACCCAGCGACGGCCCTGGCAGGCGGTATCTGACTTACATCCTTCAGTGAGATAAAACTCTGTGGCCCCGTAGGTTCTCTCACTGTTGTTGACATGCTTCATGTTGCAGGTGTTCTTGTTGGGTCGCAAATGCAGAGCGACTCTGTATCTTGAGTAAGGCTCCAAACGTTCTGGAGTCATTTGAAAAAAGAAAAAAAAACAGCAAATCAAAAAACAAAAAGCAGGTTGTATTCTAGACCGGTCATTCAGTCTACGGCAAGTAAGTATTAAACGTCTCAACATGTCGACGTGTTGCTCAGTTTAACAGGGTTATCAGATCTTGGCAGCAACCCTAGTGATGCACAAATAAACAAACCAAGCAAGTTCATACATGACGTTATGGGTTAAAAATAAGGAGGTGAGACACTTAATACCCCTGTGCTTCACCTACGTGCCGAAAATAAACATTTCGATCAGCTCTGGGGCTGATGCACGCCTTTCCCCGCCGGCAGCTGCTGCTTTCGGCGGAGCACTTCAAAGAGAAGCGGTTCAAAGCGGGACTTCCTATCATCTTTTCCATTTCACTTCCATTGAGTTTGGCAGAAAAACAAACAACTCAAGGAAACAAAGGCGATTATTTACCATCGGCGTAAAGAAGACGGGTTATTGGAAACCGTCTGCTGTTACGAGAGACGAACGTTGTTCCAAACACACACGGTGTGTTTAGACACTTCCTCTGATATGCTGCATCTGGTCCAGTGAAGGTTTTATTATTATATGTTCTTGTTATAGTAGAATGTTTTGATCGCTAGATGCTAACAGCACTTGGAAATTTATATTTAAAATGATTTTTATTCAAGCAAGAACTTTGCATTTGACAAGAAAACGGTGCAAAAGAAGTTTCAACTTCAAAACAAACAAACAGAAAATGCTTTCACTCGCATTTTATTTAAGAAAATGCCATTGCTATTCAGTCTTCTCTTTCCACCTGATTCTGATTTACCAGAGGATGCTATGGTTTTGCAGTTTAGACGATGCAATTTTTTTTATTTTTTCATTCATTTGTTTATTTGCATCTTGTATTTCTAAAAAATTTGCTAAAGTGGTTAAATAAAAAATCTGTAGAACGAGCCTTGAGTCTCTTATCCGATTAATCGTCAGAATACTCGATTAATCGATTGTTTAAATGATTCTTAATTGTAACCCGAAGCTAAAACCGTGAGGCATGCTAGCGCCGGGTGAGGGAGTTCCGCTCGGTTCTGCACATGCGCAACAAAAGGCTCACGGTCGATGAGGCTGCGGTGCAGTCGGTCAGCAGTGGCGACAAAAAGCAAAGGCTCTGTGTCAAATTTCGTTCACTACATTTCCCGCCACTCACTTGTTTGAAGAGTTACCCACCTGACAGAGAGGACACGGTCTTCCTGGCATTGGTGTCCTCAAAGAAGGACTGGTACCATCCGGAATGTCCCTTTTTCATCCACTCCACCACATAGCAGACGTACCTACTGATCTGATCGAACCTCCAGTGGATCGTGAACGCCGTGCTGTTGTGGACCGTCACGTTCAGCTTCCCATCTCCTAAACCTGCAGATTCAAAGTCTGGTCGGTCTATTGCGCCGCACCGTCATTCATTCGGCGACCAAAACAGTCTGCCGAGTTTGTGTTTCGATGTCTGCTGAACGCCACAGATCAAAAACGAAACGACGGCCATGCAATGAGCAATAATCATTTCTAAGTGATTTTCTGACCGTTGGCGTCTCTGTGCTCCGGTATGACGTGGGTGGCAGCTGGGGAAACGCTGGCATTGTTGTAGGCGCTGATGTTGAGGCGGTACGCGGCGTAGGAGAGGATCAGTCTGATCTCCGGCTCCGAGGTGGTCAGCAGCTCCTGTGAAGGCTCTCCGGACTCTTTCCAAACGGTCACCCGGTAGCCATCAAACAGATCTTTGACAGGAAACTGTCAAACAGCACAACTCCCGTTTCAGCACCATGCCATTCTCGCTATCATCTTTTTTTACATTTATTTTTAGGATGTGTTAAAACTGCGTCGATTCAAGGTGTGCAAGTACCTTCCAGGTTACGGAAATCAACCGGCAGCCAGTTTTCAACGCAACATCAGCGTATTTGGTGCTGACAATGATGGGTTGAGTTGTAAGCTCTGAAAAAAAAGAAGAAATTCAACTTAGTCAATATTGTCTGGATTTGGGCTGCTTCACCTGATTTCTGAGTTCAATCTGAAATCAGTCCTCACCTGACAGGACGTAGTAGTTTTTACTCCATGGACACCGTGAGCATTCAGCAGTGGTCACACATTGTATCTGCACTTCGTAGACCAATGAGGGCGTTACCTTTTCCACCATGGCTGTGTTTGGAAGCTCAGACTCGACAGTCTGTGAGCAAAGGCAGAAATCAGTGAGTTGGAAACAAGTCAAACCAGGTTCAACTCATTCTGATAACTTCAACGCTGCAGCGTATAACTTTTATGAAGAGTGTGTTTACACATAACTATGTTGCGACAGATCATTTGTGGGGGAAAAAAAAAGGTCCTGCGCCTCCTTCCTGTCGTCCTACTGACATCTGCAGAAATGCACGATCAGAAACAATCAATCGGAGCCAGGAGGAGGGTCAATCATGCTCACGTATGTGCTGCTCATTGTGTCAATGGTCGGAAAACAACTTGCCGTTCCGGGGAAAATGTTTATCGGTGGCCATGCTAACTAGCTTTAGCATTCACTGCAGGCTCCTGTGTGGGGAACTCGTGTATGAACAGCGTACAGATGAGCTAACAGCACTAAGACTGCGTTGTTTCTAACCAAGTGGTGTATTTCTGGAGATGGCAGTAGGACCACAGGGAGAGGATAGTGATGGTGTAAACAAACTCTTTATTGTATGGTACAAGTCAATTCCATTATTTAGACATTGACAAATTAACAGTAGAAGTGTACAAAGTGCCTCCTTGAAAGCTCTATGATTGATACAAAATGTGTTCATTTGCATTCAAGAAACAAACCAGTTCGAACACCTATGAAGTCTTAGAAATATAAAGTAAAGTTTAGTCCAAGTATTTCCCTGCTAGTTGTGATATCACAATATCACATTTTACTACACCTGCACGCCTTTACGTTTTGTTTTTAACCGATGTCATGTGGTCAGGAGGGATAGTTGTTCTGAAAACACGGTTTGCGACGACGGCGATCGGTCCTGACCTGGTTCCACGATCGGCTGCCCAGCGCTGCGTATCTGACGGAGATCTTGTTATTTCCGTCGCCTTTCGGCCAGGTCACGTTCACCTGCAGCGCTCCAGGTGGGCGAGTCAGCAGCACTTGGTTCGGAGGCCCGCAGGACCGCTCTGAAGCAGTGAAAAGACACAAAAGTAAGACAATTCTCGCTGTCTGACATTAAAGTTGCTTCTGTGCCAGATGAGCGACATTCTTTCCATTTGTCCGTTTGTGTTTTTTCTATCTAACGCTCTTCTATTGTGATGCCACCCATTTCATAAAGCGCACCAGTCCCTCCTGCTGCAAAGCACCCACGCAACCTGAAGCTGCAGACGTCGCACCTCGCAGTTCTCATAGTGGCTTATGGTTTGCTGACTTCCCCATTTTCCCTCCAAATGAATCCTCGGTGTGGCCGATCGCTTCGACTGCAGCTGAATTAGACCACAGTGTTTCTTTCTGTGGGCATTTTGAAACTGTATACTAACTTTTTCTAGCGACGGCTTCTTCCGTACCGAGTGGCCCCTCAGTGAGTCCATAGAGGACTAAACGACGCGCATCGGAAAATGCAACCGTTCAATGAAGATGGCCAACTTTGGAAATTAGCAGATGATCTGCTGCACTGATGGGTTTAAGATTCCTGTCGTGAGTCAAACAGCAGAGCAGCGATATGAAAATGGAGAAACTAAAAATACATTGTTTCATATACGTACATATATAGAAAGTAATAGAGTGATATGTACACACACACACACATATCTTTCATGGACTTACTCAGAGTCTTTTTGGAGCCACTAAACACTGCTTTTGTGCAGTTCGCCTTCCCCACGTCGTTTTCAATAACCTCCACCGTGAAGT